GCGACCGCGGTTACCCAAAACTCTGTGCCTAACCTCAGCATTGCTCGTCCGGCTACCCCGCCAGTTTCGTGCAATGCTGCGTAGACAGCGATGTTCAAACACCGACAGTCTATCTTTGTCCTGTTTTCTACGCCGTACAGCAGGACGGACCGAACGGCTGCAGTATACACTCGAACCTTCACAGACAACTGGATGTCGCGACGGTGACACATATGTCTCAAGTTGGCAAATGCCAACCCAGCCTTTTGTATGCGCGCCGGCACTTCATCCGTGATGCGTCCACCAGGTGAGATGTAGCTGCCTAAATAACAAAACTTATCGACTTGCTCTTTTACTTCCCCAGTTAGAATGGGGCTAGGTGCTGGACCACCGGTTTCGTGATTCGCTCATACTCAGCTGATGGATTGGTTCAAAATGTAGCGGATACTCCCATTTTGTCAGTAGTGGTTGATCTGGACCATGATAAGTTACAAAGGCTAAAAAGAATTACGCAATTTGTATTCACAACAAATTAAGATTGATAATAATTAAGATGTAAAGTTTGTGTACACTAATAGTTTGTTGGCTTGCCTTTGTTCTTTAAGACTTTTGAGTCTCTTTGGCATCGTTTCCACCAATTTTGTTATGAAGTCATTTCCATCACATATCGCACTTTTGCCTCCAATGTTCCATGTACAGGTAATACATTGACCTCTCTCTTTTAGTGCATCACAATCGGCCAGTACTGTATTATGGTCTCGATAGTAGGTACATCACAAGTCACGTCAAGGAATCATTTTATACACCAAATAACCGCAGTGTCAGCAATTAAAAACAAATGCGAAATGCAATACACCCATAAAAGAAGTGAAAATGGATGGCAGCATTAAAAAAACCTGACGCCTACAAAATGGTTTTTATTACTGGTTTAGTTTAGCATTTTGAGCGGATTTCCTGCAATGAGTTCTTTTTTTTGAGAAATCTGGCAAGCTACGGGATAAAAGAGCTCCCTTAAGCTTCACTGCGAGTCTTTATAAGTTTATGACGGATGTGTGAGAATCGTGTACTCGGTTCCTATCGGCCGCCACTGACCTATCACAGCGCACCTTTTCGCGCGCGTGTCCCCTAACTGAATCCTTGATTTTTTGCCTTGTGATTGGTAATCAAATTATGCCCATGTTTCCTACAACGGACTTCTCTGGTTCGCACTGGCTTGAGTAAGACGAATTCATGTCACAGAAAAAACAGTGGAAATGTGTGCTCATTTTTTTCATTTTTTTTTACATTCTAGCTCGTCTACGAAATATCCGAATCGGTACAATTGAGCATTCCCTATATTCCAACATTTTTGGCCTATCGTGAAGTGGACTCGTACGAGCGCCTGTATACCCAAGCCACTCGACGCCACGCAAATCAACTACCCCATATACTCATGGTGGATGGCAACGGAACGCTTCATCCACGCGGATTCGGTTGTGCTTGTCTTGTGGGCTATCGACTGAATTGTCCCACGATTGGGGTGGCCAAAAATTTGTTGGAAACGGTAGAAAATAAATTTACGGATCCATCGTTGATCAGACCTAAATGGTCTGTATCAGATAAGGTTAGTGTGTTTTCACATCAAGTTAATTTGTACCAACGTCTTGCAGTACATAGATGGCTTTCCTGCAATTTCTACAAGTTTTATTTTACTCTGTTGGTGGTGACTTTTTTTAACAGCGTTCCACACTCGGGTTAAAGGTCTCCGAAAGCCTCTGTCTGGTCTGGATTGGATGTTTCGGATGTTGACTGATCACCCTGCCCTTGCACCTCGCGAAATGCTCCCATACGCGACCAAGTGTCTCAGATAGTGTCTGCTGAGTTAGCCTTCCCGTGTTGCGGAGGTGTTTTTACCACCAAAATGAGAGAATGAAAAGCCAATATCCGGGTTGGTGGACCACTAGTAGTTCACCTAGGAGATTTGGCTAAAATATCTGATTCCAAATCAACCATGAGGAGGCGTACGAATCACACCCACACCCTCCCGGTTGTGGCAGTGGTCACCGACTCGATTGGGCATCGAGGTGTATTGAGCACCTTGGACGTTTGACCCCGTCCGAAGGGTGTATGATCCGACGAACTGGACACCGGCTCCCACCGCCCCGCTGCCATGTGCATCGGTGTTTCGTTAGCCGAAGGCTTGGGTTGTGAATTCCTCAAGAAAAAATACCTACCTTGGCCTGGGCAACTTAGTATTATTCGACCCACGGGCAAAGAACGGAATGTTCTCTTTTAGTAAAGAATAAAGATTGTAAATCCTTGTGAGAATCATTGAAAGCTGCAAACATGAAACTAAACACTCCCTCGAGGATACTACCTATCTGCAAGCGCACAAGTGCAAATGTGTGGCGAGGAATCCTCAGAATTCACAGTATTCTCCATCATTAAATTGGGTTGCTTATATTCACCAGTAGTGTTTGATTTCGTTGTCGATTGGATGATGGGCCATTCAACGACTGGCTACCCTCGTAACCAACTGAGCCTAACAGTTCTGCTCTCGGATCTAAAGCTTGTCGACGATATTTCACATTTGATGATTTTACTCCGTTTATTAAAAATGATTATATAAATAATTTTTCTGAAGGAAGCAATTGGTTAATTAACTCGCTGTCGTACGATAAGCAGAAACGGTGAAACTAAGAGACAGTGGTACAATAATCTTTATGAAAAAGAAAAGCCTTCCATGATTCGCTTGTGGGCTGGATACTGCCAGATTGTCTAGGCCAAGACAGGTGAATTTTCTTGAGGAATCCACAACCGGAGCCTTTGCCTGGCCAAAGCCTGTCCCGCCAGGTAGCAGAGCGGTGTGGGTAAACCGCAATCCATTGGGGTCCGGTGTCCAGTTCATCGAATCACACGCGCTTCGGACGAGGTCAAACGTCCGGGGTACCTAATACACCTCGATGCCCAACCGAGCCGGTGATCACTTCAACAACCAAAAAGTTGTGTGTAGTTCGTACGCCTCTTCTTACTTGGTTTGGCATCAGAGTTTTGGGCCAACTCTCTGAGGTGAACTACCAGTGGTCCACTAACCCGGTTATGGCCCCGGATGTCGGATTTTTGTCCGCTCACTTTGGTGCGAAAACACCGCAACACGGGAAGGCAGTGAGTAGGGCTTCCTCAGCAGAGGCTATTCGAGACGCTTGGTCGTATTTTTTTTTCTTTTTTTACACACCTAGGTGTGTGTGTGAACAGCAGACGGGGTCAACCCCATAGTCACGAGGACCTGATGTTCAGTGATATTAACCGGCAACCTAATCCCTGGGACTTGGAGTGGTGAACCACATAAAGCCCCGATAGGTTAGGCGTGGTACTGAGTCGGACGACAGCAGAGCTGCCTACCACCAAAATCGGGTGGCGATATCGGGACTCGAACCTCAGACCATAAAGTTCAAAGCACGCCGGTGACAGCGACTAAACCACTGCGCCACCACCACTCGCGAGGTGCAAGGGAGGGGTGACCAGCTACAACCCTAGACACCCACCCCGACCTTACTGAGGTTGTTTGAGGCAACCGCCGTGGTGATAAGTTGGTGGCCTTGATTGCTTTATCATCGTCGTGCATGTGTCATCTCGGGGAACTCTATCGTCGAGTTTCAACCGGTTATCAACCGAATCCATCTCTGTGCGACTACTATCGGTTTCGAAGCAATGGCTCAAACGAAAACCTCAAGGTTGGCTGTCAAACGGCCAAGCTATCGAGAGAATTCGCGGTTTTAGTCCCACCCACTTTTCACTATGTTCTGTATCTTAATCCACCTATCCCCTTTCACTTTTATTGT